GATTCCAGAGATTCCACAAATCCTAAAATTCCGGAAATTCCGTGACTAGAGATTCTAGAAAGTCTAAATATTCTGAACCTTTTGAATATTCTATGTATTCTGTAGATTTTACAAATTCTAACAAACCTAGATTCTAGAAATCCTACAAATTCTGAAATTTTTGAATATTTGGAAATTTGAAGATCCCAAAAATTCTGAACGCTACAAAGATTTCAAAGGTTCACAGATTTCAAAGATTCCGGAAATTCCAAAAAATCCAAGACTACAGATTCTAGAAACTGTAAATATTCTGAAGGTTTTGAATTCTACAGGTTTTAGAGGTTCTAAAGAATCTAGAGTCTAAATAATCTATATATTCTAGAGATTCTAGAGACATAGAGGATCTTGAGATTCTAGCGATTCGAGATTCTACAGATTTTGAAATTTCTGAATATTTCGAAAACTGAAGGTCCCAGAAATTCTGAAGACTTTAAAGATTCCCAGCATTCTAATGATTTCAAGATTCCAGAGATTTCACAAATTCCTAAAATTCCGGAAATTCCGTGACTAGAGATTCTAGAAAGTCTAAATATTCTGAACCTTCTGAATATTCTATGTATTCTGTAGATTTTACAAATTCTAACAAACCTAGATTCTAGAAATCCTACAAATTCTGAAATTTCTGAATTTTTGGAAATTTGAAGATCCCAAAAATTCTGAACGCTACAAAGATTTCAAAGGTTCACAGATTTCAAAGATTCCGGAAATTCCAAAAAATCCAAAACTACAGGTTCTAGAAACTCTAAATATTCTGAAGATTTTGAATATTCTATATATTTTACAGATTTTAGAGGTTGTAGAGACCATAGATCTAGAGATTCTAGCGATTCGAGACGTTTTAGATTCTAAAGATCCTACAGATTCTGAAAGTTTCTGAATATTTCGAAAACTGAAGGTCGCAAAAATTCTGAAGATTCCAAAGATTTCGAAGGTTTAAAAATTCCAAAGACTTCAAAGATTCCAAAAATTTCAAAAAATCCGGAAATTCCGAGACTAGAGATTGATTCTAGAAACTCTAAATATTCTGAAGATTTTGAATATTCTATATATTCTACAGATTTTAGAAATTCTAAGTAATCCACAGATTCCATAGAGCGTCTTGAGATTTTAGAATTTCAAGAGATTTTAGATTCTAGAGATTCTACAGACTCTGAAATTTTTGAAAATTTCGAAATTTGGAGATCCCAAAACTTCTGAAGGCTACAAAGATTTCGAAGGTTCAAAGATTCCAAAGATTTTAGAGATTTTTTCCAATGTCTGCTATTTCTCCTTTCTTCTCTTCCGAAGCCATGTCTTCTTTTCCGGAACTCTACACCGGATCGTCATTATTTTGGCGTCTTTTTTTTAGGAGATTCTTGGTCAACGATGTCATTTTGAATTTGTTTTCTTCTTTTTTTTTGGGACGCTTCGTTAGTATAGAGTTCATTTCTATAAAATCTTTTCTTAAGCAAATTATCTTATAATTCTTCATAACTCTGAAAATAATCATTGATGATTTTATCTGAACTTTAACACTTTTGCTAGAACTTTTTTTAATTCATTTCATCGAACTTTTTAACTGAAATCAAAATTTGTGCCTTCTAGAAATAAACCTAACCTTTTTAACAATTTTTTCTCTTTTTAACAATGTTTGTTTTCAAACTGGTAACAATCTACTTTGTTTAGTGTCTACAGTCGGCTTCCTACAACCGAACTGAATGGTCGTGGTATAAAACTGTATTTAAAATCCTGTTCGTTTTTGAAATTTTTATCTTTCTTGATTTTTTTCCAAAATTTGGTAAATCTTCCAGTAAAGTATAGATAACATCCGGTATCCAGCTGAAAAAAAATCATTTCTTCTTCGTCTTCTTTTCCGGAACACTAGACGAGATCCTGATAATTTTAGCGTTTTTCATTTTAGGAAATTCTTGATCAGTGATGTCATGCTGAATTTATTTTTCTTCTTTTTGGGAAGCTTAATGAATTTAGACCAATTTTTCATCTTTTGCAAATTATTTTCAAATTCTTATGACTAACTAATGTGTTTTTGTAAGATTTGTTGACTGCGCTTTTGACTGTTTTCACATCTTTTGTGTTATTTTCCTCTGCAAAGTTCTAACGCTTTTTCAGTTCTTCGTTAGCTTCTTTCTTCAACACTGCTTAGGCTCTGAAGAGGATCTTGTCGAATGAAAAAATCTAGAACTTCCTTTACGCCTCCTTCACCTCCATCGACTTTGTTTTAGGATTATAGTGTTATTTCGAAGACCAAGTACTTCTATCTTCGTTCGTTCTAAAATAGAATTCTAGAATGGTATTTGGAATATTCTAGAATTTGATAAAACTTTCTAATTTTTTAACCCATTCTTGATTGGTGTCTTATTTCTTAGTATTGAAATCCACCTCAGTAACTTATCTTCTCAAGAAAATATTCTAGAAGTTTTTTGAAGCTTCCTTGACAATCGTTTTATTTGAACTTCAATACTTCTACCAGAACTTTTTTGAATTCACCTTTTTTTCCTAAAAATGTGTTTAAAATCTTGCTCCTTTTTGGAATTGTTCGCTTTCCACAACATTTCTGCTAAAACACAATTATTTATTAAAATAAGACAAAAAAAAAGAATTTTGTTCAAGTGAAAAGAAACACTCATGAATGGCATTATTATTAATTTGGATAGTGCTAAAATTAAAATTAAAATAAATTTCAAAGAAAAAATAATTGCTAAATTCAGGAGGCAAAATAAAGTGTAGATAATATCTGGTGCTCATTTGAAAAGTCATTGATTTTTTGAGACATTGTGAGGTGACAACGTGGAATCGTCCAATTTAACCTCACTTTCTCGCAAAATAAAATTAACGCCCTGTCAAATCCCAGTTATACACAGCATGGATAATAAAACACAAGCGTTTCTCTCCAGTTCTTTTATCAAAAAAGCAACGCCAATTTGATGATTTTTTATACCATGTTTATTCCAAGCATTTACAATTCGGTTAGAAAGTGACAAACAATTTCATGCGAGTTACGAATTTCGTCTAACTGGTTGTGTTTTGAATGTTTATCTATCATAGACAACAATTTTATAATTTAAAAAAATATCGCTTGTTATACTGCTCACGGATAGGACGTACTCAGTTTGTGGTCGTTTGGTTGCACTAAATGTTCTCAGTTGTCATTTCTTGAATACTAAACACTTAAAAATTGTGAATTTTTATACAGATTCATTACAAAAAACTCACCTTGCCTGTGATAGGTAGTTTCTGCAATACAAATTTGCTTTTTAGTAAAAATATGGTAACGACTTACATTTTAAACGACATTTTTCTTATGTGGCGTAAGTGACAGTAGTCACACTTCACTTACGCTGCGAGGTTAACAATCGTTGATTTAATTAGTGAAGAGTCGTCCAAACGATCATAACACGATGGATTTCTTTAGAAAAAATCTGTATGAAAGGAAAAAACTGAAGTTCATAAATATTGATTCCGACATTAGTGTGTTGTTTTGGTGTCTATACCAGGTTGTTATTTATTATTCATTCATAATGGAATCTTTTTGTCAATGTGTGTATAATTGAATTCGCAAACAACACCGTGTTAGTGTTGTGCAGGTTTGTAAAAATTGGTTGTAAAGCCACTATTGATAAAAAAAAAGAAAAAGGAAAAATTGAAAGTGAAAATCAATTTTTTTTCTGTTGTAGAATTCGTGACTAAATAAAAGAAACACTTTCATTTTCAAATCATTACCAAATACAACTACTGGTAAAACGAATTTCTGTACCCTTTGGACACATTTTAAATGTTATAAAGGCAAAGTCACGACACGGCGAATATAAGTGAATGTGGGAAGAAATTTGTGTATAGTCACCAAAACTAAATTAGTCTGGCTGACCTTAAAAGTGGAAATAGAAAATAACAAAAATATCGTCTCCTCTTAAACAATCTTTATTGCCCAAAGTGTTTTTAGACGCAATACCGGAAAACCTTCAATGCCAAAAAAGAACACTCATACTTATTATCAAGATTCTCCGCATAAAAATCACCAGGGTTATAAATTTTAACTTTCATTAACATTCATAATAAATTACCAATATCCTTGCCAACAACGAAAACACAAAAAGCTTCATTTTCGCGCTATCACGCAGTGTCAGCGATGATTTAACTCGCTAAAACTGAAGGCCAATTAATCCGAAACAAAGCTTCAAAGCTCAACCCAAACAACAATTAATTTCTATATTGTATAATATAAACGGTTACTAACCTTTGGTAACAATCACCATAGCTCTAAGTGAAGGCCAAGCTGGAGGAAGTGAGTGAATAATAATGAAACGGACGCGTCGACATGAATGGGGACATTTTCAGCACTGCAGAAAGGCGAGCTTTACTCTCTACCGGAAAACGGAAGCATTTTCCACGCGTTGCATACAGTAACACAGTAACAGTGATCCAGATTTTCGTCGTCATGCGGAGATCATCCAACGGACAGACCGACGGAAACTCTAAGCTGTCGCTCGAAAAGCTATCCCAGTGCCTTATTTCCCCAGTGGCGTCCGTCAAAACTGGCGGCATCAAGACAGCCCACAACATCTCTTGTGCGAAAACCCGGTCGTCAACCTCCGTTCGTAATGTGTTACGCTATCTTCGCAATGTGAGAGAAATCGCGGACGTCGTTGGGATTCCGAAGAGCCGGACGAAGAAAACGCGGAGAAGAGTGTCGCTGCTTGGATGCGACAGTAGGTGTAAAAATGCCGCGAATTGAGGGCGAAAGGTAAACCGTGAGGTGTGTTAAAGTAAAATCGGAACGAAACGGAGTTGAATCTGAGAACTCGAGGCGGAAAATAGAGAAAAGAGAATGAAAGGAAATGGGAAAACGAGAAGGGAGCCCAATTGGACGTAGGTGGAGTGTCACAGAAGGTGGAGGGACACAAAATTTACAACGGGGTGGTATTAGGATCTGTATAAATTAATTGTAAGAGTGAAGAGTGTCGTTTATTTATTCGTTTTTATTTTTTGTTACATATCTATACATAAAATGGTTTTAGTCACTTTATCAAATTTTCTAATTTTGTTAAAAAAATAACGGTCAAGGCCTTGAAAGCTAAAAATAGAAACAATAATCTAGTCTACTCTCTTTCCTTTCGTTTCTTGGTTATATTTTTGTTTAAAACTTTCAGTTCTTAATAATATAATAATAATAAGATGTGTTATTAGTTCTAGTTCTCATCGTGAGTATTCTGACAAGAGTGAAAAAGTTCTACGTTTTCGTACTATTGGAAAGCAAAAATCAAAAGAACTGATCTTTTTGCACAAATTTTCGTACAATTCTGCAGTTGCTAGTTCAAAGTTTGTCTTTCTTCATTCTTCAAAAATTTTTCCGCTGGGTCACACTTTCATCTCTCTTTGTATCTTGAGCGATGATCAACAAAGTGGTAAAATTCCAAAAATGCAGCTTTGAGCGATGTTTATTCGCACGTGTTTTTCGGCGAATTTTTGAAATTAACCTTGAAACCTATGAAAATAAGAACTGGCCTTGAGATCGGCGTTGCTTGTTTAGGTAGAATGTCGTGTCATAAATAGTTTGTTGCACTAGTGTCTTTACGAAAGATAAAGTCATTCCGAATTAGCATTCGGATATAAATTTGTTGTCTGTTTTAGTGGCAAACAGGAGTGGAAATGTTTACCAACGCGCATAAATCCTTCTAGAAATATGATCCTGAAGACGTTTACGACTTTTATTGTGTGTTTAATTTTCGGATTCGTATTAGAGGTGCTAAAACAGCGAATAATCTCCTAAATGATGGGTCAGAGTTACCTAGCAGGAAGTCGTTTACTCAATTCCGAGATAGACGGAATTATTAGTTACAAGTTCAGGGTATTCAGGTAATTTCATTTCTTAACACAATAAGCACTTACGTGTTGTGTTAGAATTCATTAGTTTCCATTCTAGGTAAAGTTGACTCGACTTGAAACTAGAGGAAAAAAAAGACTCTCGTTACACTATGCGTTCTTCTTCACGCACTCTCGCACTTAACGCACGTATAAATTAGTTCCTTTTTCGCCTAAAACAAAGCCGGGTATCAAGTTCATTGACTTGTGACGTCAGCGGACCTAACCTAACGTAAGTGAAGACTGCGTTCCAACAGCAACTTTCAAATCTTTGTAGGTGTTGCATTCCACCCTACATTGTGCTCATCGGACAGGAACAAGCCGATTATGTCACTCCAAGGGACACCTATTAACTAACAAACCCACAATTAACACATAATGGCGAGTCCAAAATTCCAAAAACAACAATTAGGTCAGCCAGTTTTAAAAAGCCAAAGTTCAAAGAAAGGCCCAAATGAAGTATGCACACGTCAATATTGACGCTGCTTCAGTTCGCTGATTTTTAGACCTCTTTCGCGCAAAATGAAGACTTGATAGGTGCTAAACAGAATGTGTTACGACCCGAGTTTATTGAACTCCCCACGATGTAGAACAGAGCAAACTCGATTAAATTTTCGTTTCGTTTATTACAGACGTCAGAATTGTCTCTTGGAAAAAACACCCTGGGATTTTTTAGTCTGGTTTCTGCGATATTGGTGTTTACCCCAGTTTCTAGGGTGGCCGAAACCAAAGCGAATCCGTTCAGAACTGATGCACCTTGACAATGAGTTGTGTAATGCTTTTCTTTGACCGGAGAAAAAGGGTTAACGGTATCTTGGTTACCAAGAAGGCGACAATTTACGGAACTTTCTACCCCCCATGTTGGTCATAAATTCACGAACGGGAGCATTGTTGCGGTTTATGGTAACCACCCTCTGGTTTTGAAAAGAACTGTCACCGGTTTGAAATACAATACAAATTACTGGTTGACCTAGAGAAAATTGTGCACGCTTAATCGTTATAGTGGTGAAATGGTCGTAAATATTGTCTGTAGATGAGGGTGGCTGTATTAGAAATGTAAAAATTTATATTCCCGGTGGAGATAAACAGTCGAAATTTGTCTCGGTGATGGATAAGTGGCCATATTTCATCGCGAGAGTGAGTGAGTGGCAAAATCCATCCCCAGCGGGGTGTTATCCGAGAGAATCGCCCGGAGACTTCAACAGTGGATGAGACGCGAAACCGACTCTCGTTCTCCTGTAATTGTTTTCCGAAGAAATTGAATCATAATTCACCTGTCAAAATTCACGCGAATGTGAAGAGAAAGGCATTTCACTGAATACCTAAATTCGTTAGGTGCGTGAAATAAGGTTATATCATTTACCATAAACAAAATGCCGGCGATGAGTCAAAGACCTTCTCAAAAGTAGAACTTTTACTCCGCGAAGTAACGTTAATCATCACGTTTTTCCGATTCCGAGGACGCCAATTCGGCTCAGTCTGCAATCAGCTCGAAAACGCAGCCGTAATAACCCTCATCGGCCGTAAAATTTCTTTCGATTGCGATGGACGCGATAAAGGCGGCTTCTCGGGCAGATGAGAGCGCTTGGTCCATGAACCCTAAAACAACGACAAAAAGAACTTCCTCAAACGTGAGCTGCAGCATTGAAGTCGCTGGCAACGTCTTGAGGCCGCTCAGAATTTGGAGGTTGTTGACCGAAGTTCCCGTTAGCCGAAGCTTCCAACTATCACCACTTGGCGCTGTGTGAAAACCATCACGGTCAAGTTTAACTCGGATCGGTGTTTAGTTTCTAAAAGACTGCGAAGGTTGAAGAACGTAGTGGTGTGTTTGACATTGCCCTAGACATGCGGCTTTGACAACCGGTCGACGCTTTCTTCACGCTTGGATTAAGTGAACGTCAAAATTTTTCGTTGGACATGCGTTTGCAAAATTCCGTTCGGAGACGATCTCGACTGATTTAGACAGTGTGTGTGTTGAGTGACTTTTTTTGGATTACGTTTAGTGACATTGCCAAAATTTTCTGGATACCGTGGATTTTATATATTCCTCCGAAAGATTGCCACGAAGGTAAGGGTCTCGATCCCGGTGGTCCGAATTGTTTATAGGCGTTTTTGCCGCGCTTGATCAATCTCCTCGCGGCGCAAATTAAACACCTGTAGACCTCAAGGAAAATTTTTTGCCGACAGACGAACACCGAGAAAATGACTTACCGATGATTAATTCAATTATGTAATGACGGGGAAGGCGTTAAATTTTGGCAGTCATGGTATCATGGCGATGTTATTGACCTTAAGACAAGACATTCACATTGATATTACGTTTCGTAATTCCTCTCGTACTGTTTGCTCAACGAACATCACTTTTTCGACACACGCAAAATATTGTAGGTGTATATATTTTGAAGGTGTTGACATTGTTAGCAAACGCGTCGGCGTGTGGTAGGACGAAACAATATCTCATTAAGACCAAACACAATTAAATTTTCGCAACAATTCAATTTCGATCAATTCACTTTTGACGAAAATGCAACTAGCTGTGGAAAAAATTAGCATACGAATTCGTCCTCCAGGAGATAAAATTTAAAAAACAAACAAATTCGTCCGGAATAAAATTCGGCATGTGAACATTTGTTAGGTTCATCGAACCTCAAAATTTAACCTCAACCTTGTGTGCTGGTGTATAAGGTCGAAAACTGCATAATAAGGAACCAGTTCCTTTAATGTTGATAACTCGTTCTGTATTTTGCAATCTGTTTTGTACAACGTCGGGTTGCATTTTATTATCATATTTTGTAACTCGAGTGATTATTAGGCACTTATTCAAACCCCTATTAACATAATCTAGGCGAAATTAATGCGACCTCTCTGGTCTCGATTTTTGAAATTGGGCATCAATGCGGACGCCTTCGAACAATAACTTTGAACAATGTCATGATTCATCGAATTGTGGCCTACGTCACTAACTTTCATTGTAATCGAAAACCTCCTTATCTCGTTATACCGAAATTATCATAAACAAACAACACCGAAAGAAAGTTAGACCGGTGATAACTGTCATAGGTGTTGCATCAGTCGGTGGAAAAATTAATGGAGTTGCTCCCTAATGGCCCTCTTTATCATATCGTGTTTGAAATTTTTTAAGAAAAATTGATGATGCTGCCTCGACTCGTACGACGATTCTCGATTTTTCTATGCTCACCTTCCTTTCGGATTAGTAGGACACTAGGGCAGTTCAACGAACTCAATCCTTACGTGCTCACCAATAGCTTATTATTAGCTTATACATCGATGGTTTTTGTTTATGAATCAATTTGCTGAAACGGTGGCTTTTGAAAACGCGGCAGTTTTATTAAATTAGCATTTCTTCACCGCAACAGGTCTGAATTTCTCTGGATTTGTCTTTAGTGTGTTGTTTATAAGTCGCGATCAAGTTTTGACATTGACTAACCCAAGTTGAGACCAAGGCCAAGGTTAACCGTGTTTGAATCATTATTTTACAAGATACTTAAAATAATAATTATTGATTCAGAGTGCTTTCATGGTCATGGCGACAGTTCTTGGTGTTTATTACCCAGAAAACGGCTCCGACTGACTTCGGTTATTATCTGGTAATAAAACGTTTATGGTGCTAATTGTATTACATAGCGGTACCTGCACCAATAGTAAAAATTGTCCATCGCCAATAAACTGCTTAGTCGGACGACCAAACTTGTAAATCTTAGATGACAGTTCGTGATTTTAACTTTGTTGCGGTCTATTTTATCGTCACAATTTGACTATTAGATTCCATCTAATCTACACGATCGTGAATGGCTAATGAGAATGTTTAAAATAAACACAAATTCCGTTTCCGCTACATCGAAACAGGAATAAAAGAGCTGCACGCTGTGTTGATAGTATGACTTTTAAGCTTGTTAATTAAGCAGAAATGAAAATCCGAAAGAGCTTTCTTTCAGAAAATTCGCAAGAAGCTACGAGTGCACTGGTTCTTTTGTAAACAACCACTTTATGAACTTTCTTGGAATGAAACAAAGTTTACTCAGATTATTCTGGAGAATGTAAATTAGACTGAACAAATTTTGCAGCAAAATTGGAAAGATAGAAGTGCGACCAGTCTAAGAAATAACAAATTAGACGACATGGAGATGGTTTATACAGCATACATTACTCAGTTAATGAGTAATTTAAATTGTAGAACGTCGTTTCAACCACGAAGAACCGAAACAGAAAACTGGGGCGCGATTTTCCTCAAGTTCCTGAAACAACTCATCTGATTCCTAGATTAGTATAAATTTGACTTACAAGCTTGAAATTTTCCGTCTGGTATCTAGTAATTAGAATAATTGCGTCGGTCCCCATAATCTATGCAACTAATTCCCCATCATTACCCAAATTACTCCTTTCCAATTAAACAGTTTGGGACATAACTGCAAGATGTTTGTCGAGTAATAGTTCTGGAGACCCATTCAAACCTGAAAGAATGCTGTATACAAAGCAAACGCCGCCTTTTTATCTTTTTTTCTACCACACCTGCATGCTGTTCCCGTTTCTGAGTGTTTTTTTCTACCATCGATACCATATGCATGAGCGTATTATTAAAAGGGTTAGATAAGCGAGCTTAAAAGGAGGTTAACTAGCGGTGCTTCGCTCCCGGGACCGATGAAGGTCTATCGTCCAGACCCTTATAGCCTTGAGAAATCAAGTTCCGTTTAAATGGTATCACCTGCCCACACAACAAGTTGTTGAATGCTCCTCTAGATAAACACGCGTTTTGTGTGTTGGTTTTACCGTTACGATGATGCATGCGCTGGAATTATGACCATCGGCCTAGAATCAAATTCAGAGTTGTTGACTCGGACGGTTCCTGGAAGAGTTAATTAGGAGAAAAATTTTATGGGTTGTGGTTGGACAATGGTGGACGGGTGCAGGAGGGCGGTTGGTCAACAATGGGTTTCTTGAGAATTGTTATCTTTACCTAACGGATTATTCTTCTTTGAGCGGCGATTTCCGATGTCCATTTCGGTATTCAGAATTTGCACAGACGACAGCTGTCGAGACTAGAAAAATTATTTTTTGTGTCTGCAAAACTGACCGCCTTTGGAAATGAGGTACTTATTTTTCACCGCAAACCGACTGTGCTTTGACAGCAATTTCTAAGCAGAGTAATTCTTTGTGGAAATGGCGCCCGAGGGTTTATGGGAGCTGTGTTTTCTACGATCTACGTGATGCATTATGGTATTCGGCTGAATGGTGGCAAATCTGGGTGACTGGGATCATTCAAGATTTTATTCTACGTCAGAGATATAATTTAAAATTGTCTGTTTTAAAGTTATCAATTTACTCTAAAAAATGAAATTATATATTAATATTTTCAAAAACCCAAAACACATAACTGAGCACTCAAAATTTTCACACAAGAATAAGAAATTTCAGTCAAAAGTTCCATTATTTCGTGGCATACCCAGTGTGCTTCGTATAATTTTGGCCACTAAAAAAATAATAAATTCTTTTATTTATGTCGCCGGTGTCTCAAGGTTGAAAATGTTTTTATGGACTCTAATCGTAATTTATAATGCCAATAAATAAATTCAAATTTAAAACTTCATAAAATTTAATGCCATATTTAATGTTACACATTACAGGCAGAAAGTTAAGAATATTTGTCAAAGTGACAGTTAATTATAAAATCGAGATCGTAAGTATAGCTATTTGTACGTCCTTGTTTTATTTTTTAATGAAGATATTTAAATAGCTCGTATAAATCAACTAACTATGGACAGTGCAATATATACAGATCATCGTATTAAAATATCAATGAAAATTTAATGTTGTTCAACAGTTATAAGCGGCACATCAGCTTAACGAACTAGTTATGGCACAAGTGTTGACAAGGCGGCAACAGTCAACACCAACTTCGATGTAACAGCAAAATTATAACAGTAGTTTCTCAAATATTATTTCAGTTAAAGTTAAAAATGGCAAAATATTTAAAAAAGAGTCAGAAATTACATAGTCTTTGACATGAATACTCATGAGACAAGTAAACAACACCACTTTCATAATTCAACTTCAATGATTAAATATGGTTTTTTCACATATAAGGTTTAATTTGGGACATTGGCTATACATTTCTACAAAAATGTCTGTTTAACACTTTAAACTGCTTACTATAAAGAAACATTCTATAGCTGTTAGGTAAATATACTTCCAGATATGAAATAATGAATTAATCAAATGAATAAGGAAAACGAAAACTCTACTATTGACTTTTATCACAGTTTGTTACTAAATAAAATACTCTCCGAGAAAACACTCGCTACTTCAATTCTCACTTGTTAAATATGGCAATATCGATGTATCTAGGACAAAAAATGCTAAACACATGTGTATAGAAGTTATTATCCCCGACAAGTATATACACGAAAAATGCAGATCCGTACTTAGTAGACGCATTTTTAAAAGATTGACGAAAATTCAGCACTTATACCACACGACCAAAAAAAAACCGTCTAGTAAGCCATGGAATTTATTTGACACTAAATTTGAAACCATGCTTGTAAATCGTTACACATCTGAAGTTTTGCAAAATAAGTTAATTTGCATTGTTTGGAAATATTCCAGCAAACATTTACGACTTGCAGACATGCAAAGGAACAACCATAAACCTAAAACGTTTGTGATCTGCTGAATTATGTTCACGGAGACTTACAACAATTAAGTGCCATATGATCGCAAAAAAAGCCATCTAGTAAACTATGAAATTTGTTTTTAAAATAATGCAGCTATTTGACACTGTGTTTCACAGTTATTTGGCCGTAACTGTCAAACTAAACAAGAAGTTTAACCCCGTTGCACCACTTTTCACCATTCCACCTGCGTTTAACTGGTCTAAACCGCGACCTTTAGCCCAGACCCCCAGCTTGCAAAGGCTTCAGTGTCAAGTGCCTGACCCACCCCAAAGCGTCTCCGCGAATCCCCCCGTTGGCCTAATCTCGACTGTCTTTTCCAGCATTTTATGTCTTTTGTAGGCGCGTTTTGTGTGCGAGCACGCAATGGTCTTTTTACGTGGAAGGAGAACGTGCTAGTGGAACCAGACAGGTGGGAGAAGTAGGGGAAGTCGGAGTGTGTCGGACGTTGAACCCGTGGTCTCAATGTTGACATCCCGGTTAAGGCTACGCTTCCTCGTTGAATCCACGCGAAATTCCATGTCCTTGTTCATTACCATCGCTGTTTCGAAATGTAGCAGTGGCCTTTGATGCGGCGGAAATGGTGCGCGAATGAGGGTCGAGGCGAGCGAGGCGTGTGGCAAAGGGTCTAGGTTTAAGAGTTGGGCGCTTTGGAGTAATGAGTGGTGCTTTGAGAGTTATGTATTATTCCTTTGAATGAAATTCACTTTATATCACAATTTGATTTTCAAAGAAATTGTAATTTTTCTATTTGGTAGAAATATCAACATGCCGTAAAAATTGATCAAGTTGGTGCTGATTTTCTCTAAACATTATGAACTATGTCTGCAATAAGCCTAAATTTAATCGATAACAACTGATACCCGGAATGCTGTTACCTAACCTTACTTTTTAACACCCGATAAATAATAGTTGATTGCTTAAAGAGTTATTTTTTTAACTGATTTATTTAAAAGAAATTTTACAATATTTTTGAAAAAGTAAAAGGAAGTTCACTAAGGATCTGTTCTAAATTAAATATAGTTTCATAATAAGGACAAAATTTGACTGGAAATAAATTTTTAAACCGGTTGAGCATGTGTTGAAGTAACCCACAAACAAATAAAATTTTAACTTCTTTATGCCTCGGAATTTTAACATACAATATAATATACAGAGTGGATCAACAACTTTGACATTTCATTATTTATTAAAGACAAAAAAAAGTCGTGATCTAGATTCTATGGCTTTCGCGCAGTTATTTTCAGCTATGCAGAGTGTTATGTTTTTGAGACGTAATGCACATCCAACTATTTTTAAATATATCTCCTTATACATTTTTAGATGTTTCAGTAGACCTTCGAAATTCTAGTGCGACCTTACCAATTAATTGATTTTTCGTGAAGAGTTTTCACAATATAAGTATTACGTAAAACCTCATGATGTAACGGATGATCAAAATTGAGTTGGCCATGCAAATATTTTTATGTCCTTGATTAAACTGTAAATGTCAAAAAATCAATTTTTTTAATTACAAATGAGGTTATGCATGACATTTACAGTTTGATCAAAGACATGACAAATTGACAAATATTTCCAGGACCAACTCTAATCTGAAAACTTTTTGATCACCCGTTACAATGAAAATTGAGTCTTATTTATTTAAAAGAAATATTTAAAATATAAAAAAAACAGTCTGCTAAAGATCTGTTGTAAATTAAGTACTCGTATAACAAATAGTTTCATAATAGGGGTGTTCTAAATTTGGCTGGAAATCAATTTTTAAATAATTAGACACACAGACGGTGATAAAAATCTAAGATCCTATAACTTAACGTTGATTTTTCGTATAATAAAATTACAGTTTTTCTGGAGCTCTATCAATAATAGTATGGATCAATAAAATACATATATTTTCCTCTACATTTCCTTCTATCCAAAAAACAAAGCCAGCTTGATGACTTTTTCTATTCAAGAACCGTTATATAATTTATCGCTTAATTAGATATTGTTTTTTTTTTAATGATTTATTTAAAAAATATAGGTATTTAAAAATTTTTGAAAAAGTAAAATGACTTTACTAAAGATATGTTCTAAATTAACTATACTTCTCATAGATAGATACATAAATATAGGGGTGTTTAAAAAAAAAGCGGTAAAATTTAACTTGAAATCAATTTTTAAACAATTACGCCTGTATTTTTTAGTGTTTTTTTTTCCTTCACTTTAAACATATATCTTTAAACTGTGTCCTAAGGTTTGGTTTGTAACACGTTCTCGAAATTCTGAAATAAATTTATTTATGAACAATTAGAAAATACTAATAAAATGTTTATTACTGGACTGGAAAATTAACTAAACGGAAAAAACATATTTGAATCGTTTAATAATTCAGGAAAAGTGTTATTTTTTTTAAGTTAATTTATTTTTGTATTTTTTCACTTTATTGCTAGTTAGATTAAAAATTCTTTCAAAAATCAAGTTGAATTAATTTATTTTCTTAATTAAGGATACTAAATTCTTAAATTAGAACAATAGATACGTCACGATACTATAGTTTCTTCAGCCAATATTAAACTGCGCCGAATTAATACGCTTTATTCGGACTGGTTTTGTTTGTTTTGTTATTTTTGCTACGAATTATTCACTAAAACTTCAAGACATGGTTCTGTACTACTTTGACAAAAAAATCTTTCAAATGACTATGAAACTATTTAAAAACTGTGAATTTTGCTCCTTTTTTTTTAGTAATTCTTGTCATATGGATTTTTAACTCTCCTTGTTATTAATCTGGTGCATTCATTACATCATTGGTATAAAATTACTAAAACCCCCCACAAAAATTTAGTAATCGCAAAAACGCTAAAAACTCTACACTACGTCGCTCCGTCCGTGACCTAAGCTAGTGCGAAAGCAAGAATTCTGATTGGCGAACATGACCTGATTAGCGGCGATGGTCCACTTGTGGCCATTTCACCGTGAAAAAACCGGCCCGGGCGATTTTGCCGACGCAAAACGCAGGGTGGCTCCCGTCTTCGCAACACGTATCGGTTTGTTGGTAAACAAAGGGGATTCCCGGGGTTGATTGAACTCCGAATCGGGAGATCGTGAATGCGGAAGGTCCGGGTTTGACCCCTCATGACCTGGGCCAACACTTTCCATGGTAACCGACACGCAAGTCGGGGATTTCGATCGATTCCAGGCGATGTCCCTCCCTCTCAGACAACACGCTACTTTGACAGAAATTACGATATTTATTTGTTATCTTATCGACAACAGTTTTATGCTGGGGTTAACATCCAGAAGAATGGCTTTGTTGCACCGCTGCGACCCCCATTGTTGGGAGAACGGGAAGACGGATCTGGATGTGTGTAGTAGTAATGTGTACTTTTTTGGTTTTGCCATTTCTCAGTCGGTCTGTCGAGGCGTAATTGGAGGGTTGCGAGGAGATGAGGCTGCAACTGGAAAGTTATCAGTTATGCAGTAATTAAGAGCGATGATTTACCTCGTGACGCTAAAGGCGCAAGTTGGGCATTTCCGGGAGTTCCGGGATTCTCCGGGTGTAGAACGCAGCGGAGGACGTTGACCTCTTATTGATTTTGTGCAATTTCACTTTTATTTTGTTTTGATGGAAGTGCGGCAAAAGTTGATTCATCCTGCAATTTACAATCAAAGTCAAATTTCCGCTGTAGTATAGTATGAGGGGGGTCTTACATTAAGTATACACAAGAAAATACACGAAGGACCACCCACATTACTTATTACTGACGGGGTTGCATTTGCTTTTCAGGGTTTTCTATATTGGAATATGTAATTTGTGGTATTCTTGTAAAGCGATTGATAATTTTAATAAATTACAATGTGAGTGATTTATTTATTAGGAAAGGGGTGTTTCCGAGGATGTGAACTTAGGCAGTGAGTGTTCAGTGACACGAATATGGGAAAAGATTCTTCCTATTTGTATCTATCTGAATAAAAATAAAGTTCTAAAATTAAGCACAGATCATCCGAAGATAAAGTTAAAAGAATATTGATCATACAGTGTACAGTATATCTGGAAAATATGGAACAAGTTTCACACAAATTTGGCTATAAAAGTTGGTACAAATATTATGGAAGAAATCAGCTTATGGTTCTTTTTTTGTTTGATATTAAAAATTGTTGAAACTTCTTACTAGGGAATAATCGCGTTGCCGCTTCTTAATTCTAGTGTTCCTTACTACCTGCCAAACAAAACGGTACAGGTGAATGCAAAAGTAATTTAAATTTTTATGTCGGCAAACCGCAATTTTGTTATTAGAATTAGCAATAAAAGCGATTAGTTGTAGGTAGCATCATAAATTAATTTCTACTTACAATTTCATGGAATCGGACACACTCATTCGTTTCCGATTACCTCGTACGTAAACATTAATGTTTTATTTTATTTAGTTGTATTTGTATTTTTATACGATTTTTAATAATATTTTATGCCTCCAAAACTACCGAACCGATCGCTTTCTTTGAAATTTTAAGTATACTTTAAGGTAATCGTGACAATTTTTTGTACATCGGATTTAATAGTCCAACAACAATAACACACAAGATTTTTTCTAATATAGGTAAAATACACTGATATTCACCCACTGATTTAAATTTGTTTGTTAGTCCCCTCCACGAGACTGATGACGCCATTTTTGAATTATTTAACTGGGCGTTTAAAAAGTAGAATCGTATTACTGACACAACAACAGCACTTTTTGGTCACTTTTTTGTACTCAGTTGTCGAAAAGTTACTTTTGTGTCTTTGGATTTGTGTTTTGTCAATTCTTTTCTAGTAGAAGAGCAAAGTAGTGTTCTGGTTTTTCTCAAATCTCCAGTGCTTATCTTCCAATAAGGAAAAAATATTTTCTAACCTCAAAACCACTTATATAACTAGTTATGTTTCTGTGTGGTCACCTAAAAAATGTTGTGTGTACCTTGGGCAAAGTGAAACTTTTTGGACCAAACTTCAGATCGGCCGAAAAAGTTCTTCTTTGATACATAAACACATCAGATGAGAGAAAATTTATCTCTAAATATGTAATTTATCCAGAGTAATAAAATACAACAATTTTTTATAATTTCAAAGATCTACCAAACCAAAATTTTAAAGACATTTGCAACGTTCGAAGCAGTAATTTTTTGTATTTTTTCCAAATTGAAAATCTGCTGTCATTTGAAACAACCAAAATGTTTCGTTTTCCAAAAACTTAGTTTACCTAGAAAATTGTGCTTTTTACTTCTCGAACCTAAGTAAGTATTATAATTAAGTATAATATTTTCTCGACATTTCATGACCCCTAGAATAAGAAACAAATTGTTTGTCTGTGTCGATTTTTATTAGGCAGATAATCTTGGAAACTGTTGGACCATTTGTTGTCAAATTTTATAAACATTCTAAAAATCTAACCAAAATTTGTTTAATAATTCCCACCCACAATGTCAGATCAAATTCTGTCTAGTAAATGTGTTTAAATTTTGTAAAATAACATACTTCTATATTTTTGTGATTTATGAATCTGTCTTTATTTTTATCTGGGTTTTATCCAGATTTTTGAAAAAAATCAAAAGTTTATTTTAGAATTTAACTGCAACCATTTAACGTTAATTGATGACGTCATCTCAAAATTTTACCGAATAAATGCCATCTAAAATGTGCAAAATATTGTGAGTCTATTTTCACTTACAGGGATTATAAAAAAAATTATAATAAAAAAAGTCGTAAAATCAAATTTTCTCATTTTTCGAAAACGTTATCATTAAAAAATAAAAGTGGCAAAATTAAATTTTATAATTTTTCGAAAAGGTGGATATATTGGACCGTACTTCCGGGGTGAAGAAAGTTCTGTCTAAATTAAAAAAGGGGTGGTATAACTTTTACCCCTGTCTCTCCCCCTTTTTCTCGTACTATAGTTCTCAAACGGAAGATCCGATTTCAGTGCGGTTTTTTTTGTTTGAAAGCTGGTTTAATCGGGATAATTTGTGTCTATGTTTGATGATAATCACTTTAGCCACTTTTATCCCTGAAGCATTTGTCTGTGGCACCCTAGCTCCCAAATAGATGAACCGATTTCAATGTGGTTTTTTTCTTAAAAGCTGGTTTAATACGAATGATTCTTGGTTGTGTTGATTGGTTAGCAGCAGCGAAAGTCCCAAAATTAAATTTTCTCATTTTTCGAAAAAATGATAAAAATTAAAATTTTCAAAATTAAATTTTATAATTTTCGAAAAGCTATACATGTTGTACTGTCCTTCCGAGGTGAAGAAAGTTCCCTCTACATTCAAAAGACGGGTGTTATAATTTTTATCCCTTTCTCTCTCCATCTCTTTCTCTCGCACTATAGCTTCCAAACGGATGATCCGATTTCAGTGCAGTTTTTTTTGTTTGAAAGCTGGTTTAATCGGGATGGTTTGTGTCTATGTTTGATGATAATCACTTTAACCACTCTTTATCTCCGAAGCATTTGTCTGTCTGTGTATTTGTCTATGGCACCGTAGCTTTCAAACGGATGGACCGATTTCGATGTGCTTTTTTTTGTTGAAAGCTGGTTTAATACGAATTATTCTTGACTGTAAACGCCTAAGTACCAAAAAACTCTAAAAGTATTAATTTTTTCCATGGAAATATGCACAAATAATTGAGTTAACCGTTTAGTTCAGATTTCAAGTGTATCAGATTTTTGAACTTTGCTGTAATTTTAATTAAATGCGAAACTAAAGGTAAATAAAAACTACTGTTTCTTCCTTTTATAAAAATAAATAAATAAACACATCAGGTTTTCCTATGTCAAATATTTCCAAAAAAATTGTACATCCTTTTCATGTTTCGAAAAATAGAATCAAAAAACACCCAAACTGTGAATTAATAAACAGAAAACTAACAAATAGTGAGTTGTTAACAAATAAACTTTTAATAAACATGAAGTTTTGCAAAGATATACTATATAGTACACTATATAGTCCTTCTAAAACATGAAAAATATAGCGGAATTTGCATTTTTAGTGCTCATTATTTGCCACGAGGTGTTGTAAACCAACAATTTATTGTCCACCAGTGCTGATAGACAAAACTGTAACCTCCTAAAACCTCCAGCGAAGATTTATTACTTGACGGCTAGCTAGACAAATTTGGCAAACTTAAAACCGCTGCAATCGCAATTTTAGAAAATTTTCAAGTCGCAGTTGGGAACTACAAAGTTGCTAGTCAATTTGGTACAGTAACACGCAACAATGGCTTGTGAATTGTTAATTATAATCGTAGAATTATAGTACATACCATACTCCCACTTGCTACACAAAACTGTTGTATTTAAGAATTGGAAGAATCTAAAATGCGTCGTATAAACTATAGATGAAAATGAACAATGATGGTAAGTTAGTGTGTAATCTTCTCCACAAATAAAAATTAGTTATATAATAAACGTTTACTTATTAACAATCTGTGCAATTAACAATGAGTTAGAGGCCACCTAACTATAATCCGGGCAACTTTTCTCTAGATTTTAGTAAAATTAAGCGACCTTATCACTTTCACCCAGACCCAACCTCATTAAAAAATAAAAATAAACCAACCGACGTCAATCTAATCACCCGCATTTTTCCCAAAATTTAACGACCTGACCTACCCAACAAAAAGCAACGTAGATATAAAATCTATTTTCGCAAATATATGCACTTTATCGTTATCTCTCTCCAACGATTGCACTGTTTACGAAAGATTGTTAAAAATAAATGCACATGCGTTTTTCCAAAGGTCAAACTATTTCGCCTCCACTACCAACCCAAAGAAAACCCAGTCCCCCCTCGCGGCCCCCAAAATTGCCTTTTACGATTCCCCATTAAAAATTCCGCGATAATCGCAAAATTCCAGCGCACGAAAATTTTGTTTATCAAACGCTGCGTTATCACGCCGATGTGCACATGGACAAGAGAGTTTGAACGGGATAGCTGCACCGTTGCAGAGCCTCACGACAGAGAGTGTTGAGCTAGGTCGGCGTCGCGACGCATAACAGCTCGGTGCATATCCGCGTCGCGGTGTCCCGCCAAAACACGCCGGGCAGGTGCGTAACACGCGTAGGGACGCGTGCGAGTGCGTGCAGACACCCCCCAAGACGGACGACTCCGTAGAAAAAAAATCAACGGCGAAGTTTGAATTTCCCGCCTTTGCCAGCCCGGAAACGCGCTATTTTCAAATCGGCGACACTTCAAACAAGCCGCCGACGGCTTACAAACCGCAGCTGCCAAATTTTGCGAAAGTGGCGGCGAAAGTGAGTGCGGTTTTTGATTCGGAAGATAGTTTACTTAATCAAGAAATTTTGAAATTGGAGTCAGAGTTTATGTAAGTTTGTTTGATTTTTTGGTGTGATTTGGGGCTAAAAGTGGTTGAAATCTTGGCAGGCACTTAAAAAAAAATAAGTGATAGCAAGTGATAATGAAACTTCTATTGATTGTTCTATTTTTAGCTCGTTAAAATAATTTCACTATCAAACTGGAACTACTTGTAGTGTGGGTACTTACGGTTGAAAGAGGTCTCCACACGTGGTCACAGCACCCGTTGTGGGTCACTTTGGCCCTAATTTCGGTAAAATTTAGCGAAAATGCGATTTTCAGCGTTCAATACAATCAAAAGTGAAAATTCAAAATGGCTGCCTCCCCGTTTCCGTTACTGAAACGTAGATATTTTCTGCCTTCGAAGAAGCTATTTTAAACTACTTTTCCATATCCAAGGTAACCTTAGTTGTTAACTTCATGCAAAAAATACAAACCATCCATTTTTCATGCTAGTCCCCACGAGCTGGACCTGCAATACCAATCAACTTTGACCTTTAAAATTTTTGATTTTCATTTCGTGTTTTTAGAGAAAATAAGGACTTTTCGTGATTCTTTGCACCCAATTTTGGTTTCCTTGTGGCTACTTTAGCGACCAGTGTGCTTTTTGTGGCATGACAGTAAATTTTTGGCATTCTTCTAGAAAAGTGAATTTCAAGTTCAACTCAAGGATACCTAATCCATCAGTAAATAATAGCAACAAAAAGCAGTGCGATTAATAAATTATAGTTGTAAAGGTGTGTGCGTTGCATAGGTTATGTTGCATTATTTAGCAATTAATTCAACGCGAACACGTTTTTTACCATCAGTTTCGCTCCAGTGATGACGACTAAATTGTGCAATAATCGTTTTTGTAGAAGACGAATCGAACAAAACCAAAAAATGGCTCGAAGAAGACTTTGTAACCTCTGCGTGGAAAAATCCTGCTGGCTGTCACCACGAGTGCATGCTGCATCGAAAATTAATTAAATTAACACTGCACTGATGTTATGTAAGTTTCCGCCCAATTCGACCAATAATCTCGACGTTTGCATGTTTAATTCCACTATTTTTATGCACGTTTTTTATGCGGTCCTGCAGGGATCCGGACATTCCTGCGGTCATCTCATATTCGGTAATTTTTAGTTTGACTTTTATAATTGCAATAACATTGAATGTTTAAAGATCAGTCATGGCCTCGTGCTGTGCCAAATGCTCACAAGGTTTCTTTAAAAAGAGAAAGATAGAGGAAATGCACTCGTTGAATAAAGACCAGAACTAAAATTGACGTCAGGAACATGCAACTCAACCTTGCACTAATATTAGTGCAGAATTAAATAACTTAAAATTGGTGGGGAAGAATTCGGTATAAAATTACCACAGCAGGTAATGATTTTCTCCCTACACCCGAAATCCAGATACGCCATTTTTTGTTTCTGGGTAGTCGTCACGATTGTTGCACTTCAAGGAGGTTACGTTGTATGTTATGCAAAACCCATGTTTACATAACTACTATGTAAAAAAGAACTTAATGGCTGTTTGACATTGAATTTTTCAATGAAGTGATAGCGGACTACGTGGAGGACGTTGCTTTAATAAACAGTCCAAATTGACCAAAATCGGTTATTTTAGCCAGAGATAAGGCTTCGTTTTGTCACAATGTGTAATTTTTATATTGGTTTTTTATTAAGAATGATATGCATTGCTATTTTTGTTTCAGGACTTAAATGCCTTGAAGAACAGTTGCAGTCCTCAAAACAGGCCAAAATGAGAGAGGTAATAAAGCTTGTTTTTGTTCATTTTTTTGAAAATGTTTTATGCGGTGATAAGCTCATGTGATTGTGTTTAATCTAACATAAAAGAACACCAACTTGGACATTGTCATTTTTTTTTCCTAGTCGAGGCTCAAAAATAACCTTCAGTTGGGTCATAATTCAGGTTTAAAGCTGATAAAGATGACGGTGATTTTAAACTATACATAAAGCTAAACATGAATTTTGAACAGAAATTGGTTTTTCTCTGTTTTCAGACATTTTTTGACACAATTATAACCAAATCAGCAACGTAAAACAACAGAAATCAAAAAATTCTGTGCTAGAAATGAGAAGTAAGTAAAATTAAGGTAAAATTGAAGTAGAGACGACAGAAAAAGATCCAAAAATGAAGTTTTGACGTTGTATTTCGCCTTTATTAGATAGATCACACCATAGAAAATAAAATTAAACAAAAATTTTCTTAAATATTATACCAAACAATTTCAGTTTAGGCATTGAAACGGAACCTTAACAGGTGTCATCATATTTATTTATATTAAAAACAAAATAAATTTTCTGAAATCACCAATTGATAAACCAGAGACATTTGAAGTTTTAGATATTATCTAAATTTAAAAAGATCTAGAATGTCTGCAATAAACTCGTCAGAACTAAATTTTTAGGTTAAGTTTCATAATTAATTGTAGTTTTTCAGATTTAGATTAGTTTTAATTTACTATACTTAAAAATTATAAAATTTGATTTTACGAATTTTTTTAGCACAAATGTAGATTTACAATGTTTTGCATATTTTATATCAAGCAAAATTTAGGAAATACGTCATCAGTTTGGGGAGAGGGGATCAAGTTTCACTGACCATTTACGATGCTTGCGTTAACCTTAAATCGTTTGCGAAATTTCGAAACATTCGGTTTCCCATTTCTAAAGTTAAATTAATATACCTACTGTTGTTATAATTTTTTTTTTCCAAAAAATCTGAATGTTTAGGGTAAAAACTGAACTCCGATTCATAAACCACAAGTGCAGGAATGTGTTAGTTTATAAAATTTAAATAACATTTATGCGAGCAAATTTTTGCCAAGGCCATAAACGGATAAACTTTTATTAGCGACTCATTATGCCTCAGATAACCTTAAAACATTACAATTTCAAACTTAAATTGTAAAAGTATTATTATAAAATTTTGATTCTTTTTCCAACCACCGTAAAAACCAAGTGAAGGAGTATAGAACATTTAATATTGATATGAAGACGTTTTTCGGGTTTAGCGGTGTGGAATTTCAGAAAGGTTTCGATGTTTTGTCCACTTTCATGAGGGGCATCTTCAAGAAGTGAACGAACGAAAATAGAGAAGAGAATTAACCTCAGTTTCTTTCTCTTCTTTGAACTTTTGGTTCTGCCACTTCCTGAAGATGCCTTTTCTGAAAGTGGGCGAAACGTCGAAACCTTTTTAAATTCCACACAGTGCAAAACCGAAAAACGTCACTCTGGCTTTGAAAACCACAGAATCGACATTTTATATTGTTAAATTTGGGGATTACGTCATCTCATTGTTGGTGGGGATAATAAGACAGTAATAAATCGTTTTACCACTTATATGACATTCGTAACATACATACAAAATTCGACAACAATCAATTTATTTGTCTAATAAAAATTAACACGTATTCATACTCTAGGGGTTATGAAACGTCGAGAAAAAATGAAAGTAACGAGTTGTCCGATGAACCCTGTTGCAATACTTCCTTAGCTCGAGAAGTAAAAAAATAATAATTGGATAAATCGTTATTTAGTAATCGATTTTCATCTTATTTTTGCAACGAGCTCATTGTTTATTGCTAATTATATCATATACTTAAGTGCAAAACCATGACGTTGTGGAGAAAAAATTGGTCCAAGGTTATTTAGGTAGAACTTCCCCCGCTCTTGAAGTACAGTCAAACCAATATAGCTTCTTCGAAAAAATATAAAATTTGATTTTGTGAATTTTATTTTTTATTACGACCCTATAAGTTAAAATAAAGTTATGTGTGGACTGTTCAAGTACAGAGACAGAAGCATGCCATGCGTATGTTTCAAGTGAGTTTTTCTATAATAAAATGTTGTGATGACGTCATCAACAATTTGGGAAGAACAAGGATATAAGTTTGGAAGTGTAATACTAGTAAAAACAGTACTACACACTTAAATTTTCGGGAAAATAGGGTGAGCAAATCTTGATTTGATTATTAAAATACATTGCCTCATTCATTAATTTTTTTAGTCATCCTGTATGAGTGATTCTAAAAAATATTAATGCATTGATAAACTAAAGTATAACGTCATAATAATTTGCATGTTCTAGGTATGATTTATTAATTGATAACAGAATAATAATTATTTTAATAAAATTTTGACATCAATTTTTTGGGAGGGATAACCTAATAAACTTTGATTAACGATTTATCATGCTTACGATGTCCTTAAAAGGTCTGCAAAGTGAAATTGGTTACCTGAATTTCTTGAGTCAACGTCGTATGAAAGCGATCTTTATAATGAAAAATGTATTTAGGATTTTTTAAATCACGTCATCAAGTTTTTGGTGGGGATAATAGTCAGACAATATTATCCACTTTCTGAAACTCCAGAACAAGCCCAATTGAATGGAATACCTGAATTAAGCTTTAACTGGGGGTCTTTCTTAAATTTTGACAAACTATGACAGTTTTTGGAACGTCTTTTTCGTGAAGTTAAATTTTGACCATTCCTAGGTAATCTTAAAGTAGACAAATTTTAAACTGACGAGAAACTTGATTTTAGGCGCTTTTCAAAATGACTACAATAATAAATAATTAATTTTGATACATTGAAATTAGAAATTTAAATAAAATTTGATACGAGCTTTCCAAAATAAGACTTTAAAATTTTACAATTATATTATTATTACCCTATCACTAATCTAGAAATAACATCAATAAATTTGTTTATTCATTCCCTCCAAGAGTTTGTGACGTCATTTTAAAAAATCGTTTTCTAGAGTCACTGATTCGGAGTTTTAGCATTCAAATTCATTATTCAAATAATGAAATTCTCAATAAATACTTAATTCAAAAATTAATTAATTATACGTTACACGATTATTGCGAATTAAACCAAAATGTTGAAAGAAACAACACCCAAATTATAGTAATCCCTTTTGTGGCACCAAAAGCGAAGAGAATTTCTTTAAGCTCACACTTCCTTTCGTTTCTGATTTATATCTACATCATTAATGCAAAAGCCTCACCGCTTGTCAGCTTAATTGGCATGCAACAATAATTATTGTTAATCAAATTTGGATTTTTGTTCTAAAAATAATGTTCCCAATTAGAGCATTACATAATAAACAAAAAATGCACACCCAAACTAGTTTTGGAATAACCGTATCCAAGACAAAATTAATTTTTTGCATCCAACGGATGCTGCAGAAAAAAATCGTGCTTTGTCCGGAGAACACCTCTAATTTTGTAATTGACGCAGACGGATAAAGCACTAATTAGAGACACAATAAGGCAGTGCACTTTTTAGTAAAAATTAACTAGTATTTGCATGTTGTGCAGAAGGTCACAGCTTTTGAACTGTTGACATTTTCCGGGGTCGCCCAATGCATGTTCTACCTGCATTCATCCAACCCTTCAACTGAAGATGGTGATATTTTACAGGTTTTCAGAGCATTATTCATGCAACCTTAAAGGTTACGCTTATTTACAGAGACTGCACAGTCATAATTCTATCAAGTGTAGTTCTAATCGAGGTGCAGATCTACAATTTTAATTAAACAGAAAATTGTAAACCTCTCATTATCTGGAAGGATGTTTATGGTTATCAATTAGAAGCGAAGTTGATGAAATGGAGTAAGGTTTATCTGCGGGTTTGCGTGCTGCTTCACACTTCAATAAACATTTCAAATATGTATGCAGTTGGTGCATAAATGCAAATATTATACGGGAATTATTATAAATATTTAAGGATAACCTTGACTTACAAACGGCTAGGAAAATAATTAGAGGAGTGTTTATTGCCACCCCAAATAAACACGAACTAACGAGAAGTTTCTAGAACTATGAAATAAAGTGGAATGGTCGGGGAAATTTTCACGTACTTTTCCGGGACTGCACTCCGAAACACAAAAATTAAAACAGTTTACACAAACAAACATTTCTTCAAAAAATTAGTCTGGTTGGAGGTTGCTAATTTTTTTATCGGGGAAGAAGTCGGTGGTGGGCACGGGTGGTCATTTGTTGTCGCATTAATCTATAAAACTTGGTGAATTAAAAACTGTTAACAGTTCCTAGGTTTTTGGAAAACCAAAAATACAAGTCTATAATAATTTTTAAGTCAAGTTGTTTTTTATTATTTATGGGAAAATCAAGCTTGTGTTCCCTCTGTGAGCTTTGTTTTTATTTTCCGATTTTAATTAAAAAAATCTAACAAAAACTCTAAATTTATATATACTTTTTCTTTATTATGATATTTTATTTTGATCAAGAGTGTTTTCAAATTTTATTAGCAGCAGGTTTTTTCAAAAAGTGTCAAATTTTATTAAAAAATATCGACAATGAACATTTTTGTTAAAAAAAATATGACAATATGAATAATGTGATCAGCGTATTTAGGACATAAACAGACCGTAAAATCGAAAGAGTTATTTAAAAATACTATATGATCGAGAAAAAATGTAGTCTATTCAGCCATGATATTAATTTTTTTTAATTGTGATGTCAGTAGTGTTGTTTCCTATTGAACTTACCTATCAGCTTAACATTTGTATTATCTGTGTAAATAAAATGCTTAAAACAGAATAAAAAATTTTTAAAAAGTAAATAATTAACAGTAAGGTTGAGACTATATATATGTCCAAATATATTTTTTGAACCATTTCATGTGTGGTCTTGTACGCAAATTTGATAATATTTTTGTAAAAAACATATTTAAAACATAAAATAAACGTAAAATAAAAAAAGTTCAAAATACCACATGATCGAGAAAAAACGTCGTCTAGTCAACCATGGAATTAATTTTTTTAATATATAGATTTATGTATCACTAATCATAATATTACTGGGTTTTGAAAATATCAGAGAACTCAACTGCTGTTTCTGAAATAGTTGATACGAAATATGTATATGTCCAAATATATTTTTTGTAATCTTGTGTGCAAATTTTATTACATGGGATTTTTAAGCTACGTCATCAAGTTATTGAAGAAGAAATGTAAGTGAAAAAATCTCAATGTATACTGAAAAATTCCAAGCCCAGACTTGATCTCCTTAGGACAACTCCTATAGACAATATTAACACTTTGTTAATTTTTGGAAAACAAAAACTACAAATCCAATTTTTTTTTTAATTTCCAGCTGATATCATATTTTATTTTGTTGAACATTGTATTTAAATTTTATAAGCAGGATGTTTTTTTCCTAAAAGTGTCAAAATTTTAATTAGAAGTATTAACACGTTTTTCGATAATAACATTTTTGTAAAAAAATGAAAATATCAGGAATTTAAGCACCACATTTAGGGTACAAAAAGATTGTTAAATTGAAAAAGTAAAAAATATTATACATATTATCGAGAAAAAACGTCGTCGAGTCAGCCATGGAATTATTTTTTTTAAACTATTGTGGCACCACTATTGTTTTCTACTGAATATACCTAATAGTTTGATATTTACATTGTCCACGTAATAAAAAAATGCTGAATATAAAATTTTGAAAAAGAAGATAATTAACAGTAATTTTGAGGCGATATTTTAGTCCAAATAAATTTTTTGATCCTTTTCATGTGTGTTCTTGTATGCGAATTTGATAATATTTTTGTAAAAAAATTAATGCATCGAACGTAAAATCGAAAGAGTTAAAAATACTATATGATCGAAAAAAAACGTCGTCTAGTCAACCATGGAATTAAGTTTTTAAATGTATACATTTATATACCACTAATCATAATATTACTGGGTTTTGAAAATATCAGAGAACTCCAACCGCTGTTTCTGAAATAGTTGGTACGAAATATATGTCCAAATATATTTTTTGTAGTCTTGTGTGCAAATTTTATTGCGTGGGATTTTTAAACGACGTCATCAAGTTATTGGAAGAGATATGTAAGTGAAACAAAATCTTAATGTATATTGAAAAATTCCAGGCCCAGATTTGATCTCTTGGAAAACAAAAAAATACAAGTCCACATTTTTTTTTTAATTTCAGCTGATTATTTATGGGAAAATTAAGCTTATGTTCCCTATATGTTCTCTATATTAGTTTTGATTTTATCTTCCAACGTTATAAAAAAAAATAAGTATGTGTTATGTTACCATTACTCAAATTTTTTTACCGAAACTCTAAAGTTATAAGTAAATCATTTTTTCTTAACTTATTTTTTATTTTTGAACGTTGTATTCAAATTTTATTAGCAGGATATTTTTTCCTAAATGTGTCAAAATTTTAATTAGAAGTACTGACACGTTTTTCGATAATACCATTTTTGTAAAAAAAAAATTAAACTATCAGTAATTTAAGCACCATATTAGAAGACACCTAATAGTTTGATATTTATATTCTGCTTGAAACAGAATATAAAATTTTCTTAGAGGGTATGTCATTTGCCAATATCAGTCTTGACATAGCAGGTAGTAGCCTCGCCCACCCACTCTCTTTTTTCTTAGAAAATATGTGATTTGCAAAAATCAGTTTTATCTTAGTAGGTACTAACCCCGCCCACCCGCCTTCTATTTTCTTAGAGGGATCTCAATGGCCAAAGTCAGTCTTATCTTAGCAGGTATTAGCCCTCTAGGAAAATAAAGGGCGGGTGGGCGGAGCTAGTGCTTGCCAAGATAAGACTGATTTTGGCAGATGACATACCTTCGAAAAAACAAGGGCGGGCGGGCGGGGCTAGTACTTGCCAAGATAAGACTGGTTTTGGCAGATGACATACCTTCGAAAAAACAAGGGCGGGCGGGCGGGGCTAGTACTTGCCAAGATAAGATTGATTTTGGCAGATGGCATACCTTCCAAGAAAATAAAGGGTGGGCGGGCGGGGCCAATACTTGCCAAGATAAAATTGATTTTGTCAAATGATATACCCTCTACCCTTCATTTTATAAGAGGGTATGTGATTTGAGAAAATCAGTTTTATCTTAGCAGGTATTAAGCCCGCCCACCCACCCTCTCTTTTCTTAGAGGGATCTCATTTGCCAAAATCAGTCTTTCTTAGCAGGTATTTATGTATTACTAATCATGATATTACTGAATGAATACAATACAATATCAACTGAATAGTTGATACAATATATACGTTCAAATATATTTTTTGATCCATTTCAAGCGTGGTATTGTATGTAAATTTTATTATATAGAATTTTTAAAGGACATCATTAAGTTATTCGAGGAGATAAGTATATAGATGAAAAGGGATCTTGATTTCATGGTCCAGATTTAATCTACTTAGGATAACTTTTATATGCAGTGTCAACACTTTCAAGTTTTTGGAAAACTAAAAATAGAAATCTAGAATATATTATTATTTCCAGAATTTTATCAGCAGGTTGTTTTTTATACAAGTGTCAAAATTGTATGAAAAAGTATTACAGAGGTCCTTCGATGACAACATTTTTCTAAAAAAATGAAAATATCAAAAATTAAGTACCATATTTAGGACACAAGAGGATCGTAAAATTTAAAGATTTAAAAATACTAAGTATATGATCGAGAAAAAACGTCGTCTAGTCAGCCATGGAACTATTTTTTTTAAAAGGTGAGAACTCGACTGACGTGGTTCATACGATAGATGGTCCAAATAAATTTTATGACATAGGATTTTTAAGTGACCTCAAGTTATTGGACGAGATATATAAATAAATAAAACAAAATCTTGATGTATACTGAAACATTTGATGACTCAGACATAATCTCCTTAAGACAACTCCTATATGGATAGTCCAAAATTAAAATGAATTACTGCGACACATGTAACAACATAGGTATATTATACTTTATTATACGCTAGACCGCAAACAGACTGACAGATGACAGATAACCAGAAACTGGACTCATGATATTCTACCTTAAAAACTGCAAAATACAAAAGTGCCAATACTTCCCTCAGCTGTTGCCCAGGAGGTAAAAAGAATTGTAAAGTTATCTCATTTCAAACCAAAATATTTTATCCACGAAGTCGTCTAAAAAAAAATGTGCAACAACTGTCATAATTCGAATTTATCATCAATGCATTTTTCTTAATTTTTCCCCTGACTGCATTTTAATATCGTATTTGATCAACTTTTCCTTGCCGCTCACTTGCGGCTTCTCCCTAATTGAATTACATCCCTCTTCCCGCCTCCCGAGTGAAGCAGCGCCATTTTGACTCGAAAATGACGTCATAAATGTGATGACGTCAAATCGGACGTGGTGCATCCCGACGCCGCTGCGCGTCGATCGATACATGTACACACTGACCCATATATCCTTTCACTTAATGTTTGCATTAGCACTCGCCAATAATTTCGCCAGGATGCAAATGACCGTCTCGGGCTCCGAGTGCATCACGCACCCAACGCAAAAAACCCCCATACGCGTAATTTATGTAATTGGCGCATAAATTCGACGCCGCTAATTGGCCAAGATGTCGTGTTCAAGCTGACAGGGAGAAAATGCCGAATAATTGCATTCATTATGCTAAATAAACGACATCTAATTAAGCAAAAACGAAGGTGTTGGGTTGAATAATGGTCGCATTCCACGAAAAATGCACTCGCTTTGATGTCTTTGAAACGCGCTAATTGGCTGCGAAGTGCATTTCAACCCCTCTCATTGATTACACCCCAGATGAGCGCAGAGGTCACTACTGTTGCTTTCACTGCATCGACCTTGTCTACGTGCCTGTGCTTTGCCGGCTAAATGGGGCGCGTTAAGCGGTCACTACGTCTCCAAGTTTCCTTACTACGGGCTCCTGTGCCGAAAACGAGGGGTCCCTCAAGACTCCGCTCGCGGACCTATGCTTATCACCAACGAAACGTGGTCGAAATTTAATTGCAACACAGGAAAAGTGAAATTGCTGCCGTCTCATCGCCGAAAAAATTAATTGCAGGATATTCGAAAATCTTACTTTCAAATGAGCCCGCCCTGCATTTCCTCGTGGTCGTGCCGGCGTTATTTCGAGAGCTTTGAACTGCTAAATGCTTCAGTTCCGTCAAATCACGATGCTCACCTTCACGGGTCTAACTTTTAAGACATGTAATTTGTCATAAGTGGATGGTTCCGTCGGTGTATTGCACCTAGAGCGAGCTAATTATGATTTTTATTTCAGGACATGATGGATGAGGTAGCAGTAACATCCGCCAGCGAGTTCGATCTGGCCAACATCCACGAAGAAGAGTTCGAACTGCATACGACGTATATAGTTCCGGATCTGCCGGTTGAGCCGGGGATACCGAATCGGGCTGAAGCTACCCTTCCTAGGAATCTCGTCCTCAAAACATCTCAAGCGCTGTCAGACGTGAGTTTCGTGGTGGTTTTGGGTGCTCTAAGTTCAAAGATCTTTTGCAGGCGCAAGGCGTTTGGAGTACAGGATATATCCCACGAGGGACCCGCTTCGGGCCTCTCGTGGGAGAAATTTATGCCAAAGATGCTGTACCAAGTTCTGCGAATCGGAAATACTTTTGGAGGGTAAGTCCGATTCTTCTTCCGACTCCTCTTGGTTGTGGTTTTCCTAATTTATCTCTTCCTGGTTCAGGTTCAAATGAGGGAAGGCTTTTATAGAAACAGTTCTAATGACAGCAAGGTATCATCTTTAATTATTTTCTCGAAAATAACTAACAAGACATTTGTGTGAAATCCTTGGCAAAATTTCAGATTTTAGTTGTAAAGTTTGGAACATATTCACCTTCGGTGTAATTTTAGCGAGCTTTATATTAACTACATTCTTCCTTAAAATTCGCTACGGCTTTCGATTATGTTGTGGTTATTTCGGGTGGTTGGCTTTAAAGTACCGGACACATAAATAATTATCGTGAAACCGAAAGGAAAACGTTGCGCGACTTGATCTTTATATAGTTTACGGCCGTTTGTTCCTAATTGCGATTGTATAAAGTGCTTACAAAGAGTTTTCTTCAAATGTCTTAACGAAACCACTAACTCCAGTACGACATTTAACCGGTTTTTCTCTTGCAGATATATAAAGATAACGAGCTGTATTATTACATAGATGGATTTGACACGTCTAAAGCTAACTGGATGAGATATGTGAATCCTGCTTACTCCAGTGAATCTCAAAACTTAATCGCCTGTCAATATAAAATGAATATTTATTTTTACACCATCAAACCTATTCTTCCCAACCAGGAACTTCTCGTGTGGTACTGCAAGGAATTCGCGGAAAGACTTAACTACCCCCTAACCGGCGAGCAGATGTTACAAAGAATACGTAAGTTGCTGAAACAAGACACACGACGGTACTACAGTAGTACTTGTACAGCGTTGAGTCTTTGTTTTATTAGTACACGTCACCAGGTGTTAATTTTCTTGTAGGACAACAAGTACAACAATCGTCAGAAGTTATCACTGTCAGCACTACGGACCCACCTGCCAAAGACGGTCCTTACGAACACCAGTTAACACCAACCGACGGAAGTGTGAGATCAGATGAAGGGTACCACAGTAACGGCTATCATGATGATGCTTTCACACCTCCCGAAGACTCGAGTGATTCCGATAGTGAGAGTAATTACGTTCTTGATTTTAGGTAAGTGTGTGTAGTCGCGCCTAGTACCAATCTAACTCACCTTTTGCAGTAAAAAACCAAATTCGAAGGAAACCGCGGTGATCAAACCCGTATCACCAGAAACTCAGAAGAACGAGTACCGGAAAGTGAAAATAAAAATCTCAAAAGCTTACCACTACAAATCGACGAAAGGAGTGGAAAGCGACCACGAAATGGAAAAAGAAGTCCCCAGTGACGCTGCAGTACCTGAAGTAACAACACTAACCCCGAGAATAATCACACCTCCAAGTACAGTAATCGTAATCGACTCGCCTCCGCCTGAAGTTCCTAACAAACCGTTCTACGAACCAGAAGTGAAATCCCAGAACGTGATTTCGCGATACACGCCGCCATCGTCTAGCATCCTGGAAAACATCCTTCTAAGGAACAGGATCGACACCAACAACAATGACAACAACCAGAGACAACCCAACGCCACGCCCCCTCCCAGCTCGCCAACCGAGATGGCTTACTCCTACAAGAAGAGTCATCGATACGGGACCATGCCCTGCAGTCCCGACTCAAGTTCAAACGTCCAAGTTCAAAACATGCTTCCTCCTAGTCCCGCGATGATCAAAAACCACCCCCCGAGTCCCGTTCAGCCGACCACCGTCTACGTACCTCACTCCACCGAAAACTACACCAATCACATCCAACCCAGCAACTACTACAACATCTACCCCTCCAACGGGATTGTCCACAGCACCATCACGTCCGCCCCCACGACGACGTACTCTCCACCCATCACGACGAGCTTCACCACCAACCACCATCCGAACGGGTCCAATCTCATGATCCCGGCGACCCACATCATCAACTCGAACCTCACGCATCACCTCCTCACCCCTCTGAACCCGATTCAGACCAACGGGCGCGCGTCCCCATGCTCGAGGAGCCCGGACGGGGGTGGCTCGATCAACGGGAGTCCCGGGAGCCCCAATTCGGGTCAGTCGAGGGGCTACCGGAGCCTGCCCTACCCTCTGAAGAAGAAGGACGGGAAGATGCACTACGAGTGCAACGTGTGCTGCAAGACGTTCGGGCAGCTCTCTAACCTTAAGGTCCACTTGAGGACCCATAGTGGGGAGAGGCCGTTCAAGTGTAGCGTCTGCACCAAGTCGTTTACGCAGTTGGCGCACCTGCAGAAGCACCACTTGGTGCACACTGGGGAGAGGCCGCACGAGTGCGGGATCTGCAAGAAGAGGTTCTCTTCGACTTCGAATCTTAAGACTCATTTAAGGCTGCACAGTGGGCAGAAGCCCTACGCTTGTGATTTCTGTCCCGCGAAGTTTACTCAATTTGTACATCTTAAGTTACATAAGAGGTTGCATACGAACGAAAGACCTTATATTTGTCAGGAGTGTGGCAAGAACTATATTAGTGCCTCTGGTTTGAGGACGCACTGGAAGACGACGAGCTGTCGCCCGAATAATATCGACGAAGAACTGAATGGGGAGGGATCGCCCAATGGGTACTACGAGTACGCTGGATCGGACGGTAGTTTAGGTAAGTTTCGCAAAAGAAATACCAAGTAGGTGTAAAATAAGGGTGACGTCATATTTTTGACCCCGTTTTTGAATTTCAACTAATTCGAGTCACTTTCGGCACTGCATTGTCGGTAAACAAGAAAACTGTAATTTTAATAGGCAAGTTATTATACAACCTTGAAGTTTTAATGAGACTTCTGTAATTACAACTTTCAATTTTTTCGTGGGCGTATTGCATGATAATTCAATTAGACTTTGTGTGTGCAGCAAGTAAAATTAAATTATTACTGACAAATCAAGAGTGTTTATTGATCCAATTTCGCTAAGTGGAGGTTGAAAATTTAATGAATATAGGTCTGCCTTCTCGGTTTTTAAAGTTAGTTTTCAGCCAAAAAAATCCAAACATGTTTTAAAGTAACAAATTTTTTACTTTAAAACATAACAGTTTTTCTGGCTGAAAACAAAGAACAAAAGTTGTCGAAGCATGAATTATCGCACGCAAAAATATTGTTGGCACCCAGCAACGAGAGGTGTTAGTCTTCTCCGCCTCCTCGCTATGAATTTCCATAATGCCATAAAGGCTTAGGTAGAATAAAGTCGACCAAAATTTCCTAGTTTGTTTACATAAAGAAATTTTTGAGATAATATTTTTAAACTACTCTATAGATCACTTTTTTAAGGGCGTGGACAAAATTATGCAACACAATATTCAGAAACTAATGGTGACGTTGATTATGTCAATACGTATTTCATTTCCACACCCTTAAAAATAAACAATAGATTGATTTTTTTAACAAAAATTGGTCTAAGAACTGCTCTTGCCTTTTTTTCCAAAAAATCTGAGTGTAAAAACTTAAAAAATTTTGTCAAGACGTCATTTATTTTTTGAAAGGGAATAAACACAAATTTAAACCTTAACTTTTTCAAAATTTCAGAGCATTCGGTTTTGCAGTTTCGGAGTCAATTTGCAAAATGTTTTTATAGATTTTTTTCTTTCTCAAAAAATCCGAATGTCTAAGATAAAAACTCAACATGGATTCGCTAACTAGTGACGCGCATGAATGGATTAACGAGATTCCCACTGTCCCTACCCACTATCTAGCGAAACTACTGCCAAGGGAACGCGCTTGGAAAATCAGCGGAGAATCGAAAAATTGGAAAATAGAAAAGTTTGAAATTCAAAAATGGAAAAATCGAAGTCGAAAAATCGAAGGATCTAAATATTGAAAAATACCAAAACTTAAATAACGAAGAATTGAAAACTCGAAAAAAAATTGGAAGAACGAAAAATTTTAAAATCCCAAAGCACAAATATCGAAGAATTAAAAACCGCAAAAAAATTGAAGAATAGAAAAATTGAACAATGGAAAAATCTATAATTTAAAAAATGAAAACGTAAAAGATCATTGAAATTGAAAAATCGAAACATTGAAAACCCGAAGGAAAATTGAAGAATCGAATAAATGAATAATCCCAAAATTGAAACGTTCGTAAATTGAAAAGTCGAAAAAAAAGTCGAAAAATCCAAAATTTAAAAAAATTCGAAAAATAAAAATATTGAAGAATAAAAAAAATTGAAAAATCGAGAAATCGAAACGACAAAAATTGAAAAATTAAAAATTTGAAAATTCAAAAACCAAAAAAAAATCGAAAAAGTCAGAAGTCGGGAAATCGAAAAATCGAAAAGTAGAAAGTTCGAAGAACCAAAATAATGAAAAATCCTAAGATTGAAATATCGAAGAATTAAAAAAAATTGAAAAAAAAAAAGAATCGAAGAACTGAAAACAGAAAAATATGAAATTTATAAATCGAAAAAGTAAAAATTCGAGAAATCGAAAAATCGAAAAGTCTAAAATCTGGCAATCCAAATACTGAAGAAATGCCAAAACTGAAAATCGGAAAATTGAAAAACCCCAAAATGGAAATATCGAAGAAATAAAAAATTGATTGAAGAATCGAAAAATTGAAAAGTCGAATAATTGAAGAATCTAAAAATTGAAAAATACCAACACTGAAATATTGAAGAATTGAAAATTCGAAAAAAAATTGTAAAAACGAAAAATTTTAAAATCCCAAAACTCAAATATCAAGGAATTAAAAAAATCGAGAAAATAGAAGAATAGAAAAATTGAAAAATCTGAAATTTAAAAAATAAAAACGTAAACATCATTGAAATTGAAAAATCGAAGAAAAATTGAAGAATCGAATAAATGAATAATCCCAAAACTGAAACGTCGGTAATTTGAGAAACTGAAAAACTGAAAAATCGTGAAATCAAAAAGTCAAAAAATCAAAGTCGAAAAATCCAAAATTTAAAAAATCGCAAAATTGAGGAATTGGAAACTGAAAAATCGAAAAATTGGGGAACTGAAAATATAAAACTCAAAAATTCATAACTTAAAACTCTAAAATTTATAAATTCGAAAAAGTGAATAGTAAAAATATTGAAGAAGCAGAAAATTCAAAAATTAAAAAATTGAAAATTCGGAAATCAAAAAAAAGTAAAATTGAAAAAGTCAGAAGACAGGAAATCGAAAAGTAGAAAGTTCGAAGAACCAAAATATTGAAAAATACTAAAACTAAAATATCGAAGAATTAAAAAAATCGAAGAAAAATTGAAGAATCAAAGAATTCAAATGCAGAAAGAAATTTAAGAATCGAAAAATTGAAAAATCGAAAAAGTAAAAAACTGAGAATCCAAAAATCGAAAAGTCTAAAATTTCAATCCAAATACTGAAGATATCCCAAAACTGAAAATCGGAAAACTGAAAAATCGAAGAAAACTTGAAAAAATGAAAAGTTGAAAAATTCCAAAATTGAAATATCGAAGAATTAATCGAAAAAATTGAAGAATAGAAAATTAGAAAAATCTAAAATTTAAAAAATGAAAACGTAAAAAGTCATTGAAATTGAATTGAAACATCGAAAAGTTGAAAAATCTTAGAATCTAGATATTGAAAAATCCCAGAACTAAAATATCGAAAAATTGAAAAACCGAAAAAGTAAAAAATCGGGAAATCTAAAATCTCACAATCCAACTACTGAAGAAATCCCAAAACTGAATATCGGTAAATTGAAAAATCGAAGAAAAATTGTAAAAAATTAAAAATTGAAAAATAGAAATTATGAAATTTAAAAATTGAAAAAGCAAAAAATCAAAAAATCAAAAAGCAAATAGAAAATTCGAAGAACCAAAATATTGAAAAATTGCAAAACTGAAATATCGAAAAATTGAAAATTTAGGAAAATTACATAATCAAAAAATTGAAAAATTGTAAAACTGAAACATCGAAAAATAGAAAAATCAACAAATAAAAAAATCGAAAATTGAAGAATCGGAAAATTGTAGAATCGAATAATTAAAAAATTGAGAAATCGAAACAGCAAAAAATCTAAAAATTAAAAATTGAAAAAACCAAAAAACCGAGAAATCGAAAAATTGAAATATTGAGGAACTGAAAAACTGAAAAATCGAGAAATCGAAACGAACAAATCGATTCATCGAGAAATTGAGAAATTGAAAAATCCAAAATTTAGAAAATCTAAAATTGAAACATTAAGTTGTAAAAATTACACAATTTTGCTCTTTTTTTCAAAAACCTGAATGCCTAAGGTAAAAACTCAACACTGATTCATAAGCCACAAGTGGGAGAGTACGTTATTTTATAAAATTTAAATAACATTTACTATTATAAAATTTGGAGATGACGTCATTCCATTGTTGATGGGGATGAACCGATAAATTTTGGTTAGCCTTTTACCATTTACATATCCAATATTCTTAACATACCATACCAATAAAAATCAGTCGCCCGATGGACTCGATTATAATTCTTATTTAGCTTACGCATAAGAAGTAAAAAGTTGTTTGTACTATGTTAGTACTTATATAGTGGGGGTTCTGGATCATTATTATGGAAATAAGTCACTAATATACGAAGAAATGAATGCAAGCAAATGATAATGAATGTTACAGTATAGAGTGTACCCGAATTTACAGCGAAATAAAAGGAAGGAAGAAATATGTAACAGATTATTATTAATATCAAAGCAAAAAAAGAAAATGTTAAAAAAGAATATAAAAAAATTATCTAGTTGATTTCTTATTAAAAATATCAGAGAGGAGGCGGAGCAGCCTAAGGCCTCGCCGCTGGGTACCGACCACGGTGTATAATAAGTTAGGTGTTCCGACGAGCGCGTGAAACGTGTCCCCAACTAGTCACAGATTTGGAGTGAGAGAAACAGAAGAGGGCGGCCATCATTTAATCGCACGGACGGGAAAGAGACGGGAGAAGTATTTGTCGGAATTAAAGCCATTTAGGTCCAAAAATCATCAAAATTAATTATCCGTTGTATTAAAATAAAAACTTTAAACATTTTTAAAATAATAATTTATTTAAAAAGATGAATGTAAACTCGTTGTTAAAGATAGTTCTTTTCGCCTTCACATATTATATTAGTATCACTTACTTCTGTTCGTTTCACAAGACAACTGAAAAATATCCATTAACCATTATCTGCTTTACTGTTTGAGAAATAAAAATTTACCATTATTACGTAGTCTGTAATCGAGACTCTTTCCTTTTTTCTGCACATGCCTTGGTTGTTTTCTCTTGTTCCTGTTTATAAAATTGTTTAATTTGCATAATTGTGTAAAAATATATTGCCTTTGAAAATATTTCCATTCTATGCTCTTCACAAGAAAAAGGAAAGTAAATAGTCATAAAAATTTTTGTTGCGAATAGCTCTTCAATTGTTGCATCGAATACATCCACAAAATCGATATATTTCATAAGTATCCCTTCCACCCATTGGAACATATTAAACATTAACAAATCTGGATGGTTTAACCACCCCCTGGATTTTGTACTAGTAAATTCAGATGCACTAGAACATGGATCTTCTTTGTTATATAACTGTTCACGGCAAATATTACATTTTGAAGTATTGTACAATTTTTTTTTGCGACAAATCCAGCTAAGTAATAAATGATGTTGTCAACAATTTTAGTTGTAGTGACATCTTCAAATAGTTGTTCGTCTATTTCGTTAATCGGTGAATCTGTATCTAAAATATATTCATTTTTCCTTTTTATTTTCTCAACATGATTTTTCCCGCATTCTGGTATTTGTTTCAAAAATATTTTTGGAGTCATTAAATGATAACGAATGATTTGCATTACTATTTTCCTGCATCTGTCTGCAATTACCAAATTTCGGAGGTTTTAATAATTTATAAACCGATAACATTCGGTATAGCTGCAAAGAGTTATAGATAAGGGATGTCCATTGGCACAACCTGCTTGTCGAATTGTGCCGAAAAATCTCTGCAAAAAATATAGTTTATGTGGAATAAAGAAAAAATACATATCGCATTCAAAAACCCTCTGAAAATAAACATCAATTCTGTTTCTTGAATGTTAAAACATAACACATAACCGATAAAAAGCGAGTAATTGTTTTAAGTAAAAATAAAATTCAACATAAAATGCCTACTATTACTATAGCGACGACCAGTATTTTTTAGTGCAAAGTGTTGTTCAAAACCAGCAGTTCACTACTGCAATAAAAGTGCCATTCCAGTAATCTGTCTTTAGGTACCCGAAACACCGACACTTTTTCGGGATTACCATTGTATCCGCTAGAACAATTAGGCACAACACATTTTCTACCCATTTTTATTGATAAATCAAAAAACAAGTAAGAAATCGCAGAGAAAACCTAGCAAAATCTGTCACACCTAGAGAGGGAAAAAGCCCGCCAAACGCTGCTAAACAGATCTAAGTGAGAGGTTACAGGCCGCCGCTGTCTGTCTCTCTCGACCGCTCATCGTGACTAAACCGGCGTCAAGTCGATGCACGGTGAATACGCTTCGTCGTAACACCTAACTTATTATACACCGTGGTACCGACAATACTTTTGCGTGGTAGTACCTCAAATCACATTCACGACAAACGTATGATGTCTAATTTTAGACTTAAAATAATAAAAGTCAGTCAGATGTCTAAATTTCCCAAACAAAAAGGATGAAAAGTAGGTCCTGTCGTAACAGTGTTTCTTGTCCTTCTCAGGATCTGTAGAAATGAACAAAGACATCCACGAGGACTCCAAAGAATTCCTGGAAATCCACTCCCAGCAGCAGCCCCAGGTCGCCCACTCGGTGTTGCACCCCGGCCTCTCCAGGCCGCTGCCCCCCGGTTTGCAGACCCCCCAGCGACAGCCCCCGCAGTCCTCCCTCCACCCCGGCAAGGAAACGCGACCGAGCGTGATCGAGTCGTCGCAGCCACACATAATTGAATGTACCTAAGATGTATTCCTGCTCATCTAGTGTAGTTTTGTTAAGTTTTTTAAGATTTATTTATTAATAGGATAGTACTGAGGTAAAACGTGTGTTCACGATGGGACTGGACACTGTTATGTAAGCGTTCGAATGAATAAATATTTAATTTTTCTAAAGATACTCATTACATTTTGTTGAGATAATTTATTCTATTTATTGTTAGTTGTTTAATGAAAGTATTTTATGGAATTAACCGAATTTTGACTTTAGACTGATCACGTATAAAGCAATACTATTTATGACTTGCACGAAATTGTCTACACTGTGTGTTTATTTGTATTTGAATGTTTTAGGAGAAACTAGATCGTTTTTACGTTGTAGATTTTGTATTGAATGTGTTCTGCAGTTTATATACATTAATATACTGACATGTATTGATGGTACTTGATTGGACGCCTCTTAACTCCATATTGAGAAACTACAAATTCGGTCACCCCTCACGCCTAAATTTCGGAAAATGTATTTGTTGCAAGCGTAGTTGCTTGATATGCTGTTAAATCCATAACTTACTTATGTTAGAATATACCCCAAATAAGTATAAGCCAAATGAGATCATCCTCTTCATGTATCGCTACTATTTATACATGTAAAGTTCAATGTATGTAATTGTATAAAACTAAATGGTGCTTGTGACTTTAATTTAAGTGTGTACGAAATTCCTGAGCTTAGCGGTGGAAAATTATTTGTCAGCTTGCACTAAAACAAGATCAGTATTAATTTGATTCGAATCGTAAATACTGTACATCATCATTTGTTGGTTTTTGTAAAAACATTATTTTTGTACATTTCGTCATCTGTAAATATAATTTCAATTTAGGTACCTACTTGAAATTAATGTAAATTTGTGTAAATTGTGAATATTTTAAAATTAGCGCGATCACTTGCCGTGTACATAAATTGTTCGTTTATAACAACACATTGCCTTTCGCATATAAGGTACAAACCTCCATATTTTGTTTTTGACAGTTTTTGTTTCCGAGTTATTTCATATAACACACAATAGTATAATACGATTATTATTAAAGGTAGTATGTACTGTGTACAATAAGATTTGTTTTTTATTGTTATTTAGTTGTACTTGTAGTTATTTATATCTCTCTACAAACCTTCGGCTTCTGAAACATCGTTGTGTTACTTGGTTTTAAGAAAATTGTACATTTCGAATGAATCCCGGTGTTTGCACGTTTGCATTTAACATGAAAAATTAGTTTAGGTGGGTACCTTCGTTTTGTTGTTTATTACAAAGGTATGATTTTATGACGTCTCATCATTTCAACCCCTTCTCATTTCTCCCCATACCTAATTTAAGTCGTAACGTGTTAGTCTTAGAAATGTTCGCTATTTATTTGTCGTAGTTGTTATTTATTCATTTGGAACTGTTACATTCAAACTATTTTGGTATCTCGTGCATGTAAAAATGTTCATATGAATATTAAAACGTAAAAAATTTATACGCCTTTTATTGCTACAGTGTATATTTTTTACTTTTACAAAATATGAACAGTTACATTAAACATTATGCAATTATTTGACTTCGACATTTTACAAAGTAAAGTATATTTTCTCCCGTGGGAAAACTCATTCACAAACGTTTAAGCCCCAGAGACCATGTCGCGCACTAGTTACACAAATAACCATTACATAATATTGTGTTTAACCGCTCCAGTGTGTTTCGTTCCCACTAACGATAAAAGTTGCTTCAAGATTACTGTTTACAAAGGACATCGAACTAAACGATGATGAATCTAGAAAAGTCTCCTTAGGAACATCTTACTGCTTACTTTTTTCACTTTTTTGCTAAGATTATTGTTTCTTTTGTAAGTTGATCAGGATTATTAGCGCGAATCGAACTAGATCAGAGTAGAGCACGTCAAGTATGTAGAGTTGGAACAAGATTAGATAACAAGCAAGCAATCATTATGCTTTTGTTCTCGAATCCCCATGGCTTTCAGTGTTGGGGACAGATACTTTTAAAAGTATCTAGATACAGGTATAGATATATGGAAGATAAAAGTATGTAGATACAGATTGTTTTCGATTTTTTCGAAATGTATCTAGATACAGATACAAGATACTTTTTGAAGCTTTGGCGAATAAAATAACTGAAAACATGTTTCTGTATTTTTTTATGTATTGTTTAATGAATTTTTTAAAGTTAACAACATTTCGAACGTATTGTTACCTAAATTATTTCTTCTTGGTGTCAGAATTTGGTTTTTGCTACTAAACACCCGTTCCACAGGTGCAGGAGAAGGGATTGTGGTATTAAATTTAAAAAAATAAACATTTTACTGTAGCATGGTTATTAAAGACTGAAAAATCTTTTCTTTTTTCCTGCAAATAGGCCATCGCTTCGCTCTTTGATGTGTCGCAAATTGTGCAATATTTATTATGTACGTTTAAAAAGAATATTTTTTTTTTTGTTTTTATTCCCATACTACAGTATCCAAATTGTGTTTATCTCCAGCATTAAAATTAATATTTCAAAAGAATACAGGAAATGATTATTCTGTGCTGAAGGTCTGTTGTCGACAACCTGTCATAAATTATTATTAGTCTTCAATATCGGCTTACGATGTTTTTATGACCATGTCCGGTAATCGTCTATCCCGGTGCGGCAGGTATATACATTTTAAGAAGAATTGCTGGTTCCGTTTAATAAGGCAAAATAAGTACAATTTCTTAGAAAGGTATTTAAACCCCTTATAGGATCAAAGGCTGCCTGGCAGTCCGGAATTACCAGAGTGCAACTTTAAATTTTCAGATTTTTGTTGAAACTCATTTTATTTTAATCTCGTTTCACGATTTCTGAAAATATATCACGATAAATTAGTCTACCGAGGGTTGCAAAAATATTAATTTTATTGCCCAAGATTTACACTTGGCACATTCTAGGGCAAAACGGACCTGCCAAGCCCGCCTCCCGTTAGGTTCAACAATGAAAAAATGAAGAAATGACACATGTGGCAGCAGGAAAAGATGCCACATTTGTCTGAAAAATAAAGGTATAAAACAGTAACAAATATGCGATTTATGCGAGAGGAATGTATGTATTGAATGAATATAATATATGAATCGATTAGTCGATTACAGAACTAATTTGTGCTAATTGAAAAAATTAATCATTATATAATACGCAATTATTATTTTCTAAAAATAATAACATACCTTAAAGAAATATTTTTACTATTAAAATTACTCTTATTTAATAACACAAATACAACCAGCGGGCCTACCGGACCCGGGTTGCTCAGGTACACAGATAAAATGCATTGCCCCGATATGTGTAGAAAAGTGAATAGTGAATTGTGGTTTATGGTTTTTAAAATACCATCTTACCATGGCTTAGATTTATTACCCCTCAGGATTATATTTAAAGATGTATAAGTACTGAAGGCTACAATGTAGGAAATGATGATATTTAAAATATGAAAATTTCCGTGACAGAACACTATTAGTGGACCTCTTACCTCTATTTTTGTTTATGTGACCAAAATCACCAACATGAAGTATCAAAAATTACTACTAGTATAACTCAACTAACAACGACTGAAAAAAAAGTGAAATAAAAAAATGTATCTGTATCTGCGCCATTAATTTTGTATCTAGATACAGATATTTTGTGCTTAAATTCGATTTTATCAAGATACAGATACTAGATACTTTTTTTAGATACAAGTACTCCCGGCGTTGCGATGGTCATTGAGTGAATTACTGAAACTGCAAAGCAAACAAATCTTCGTTACGTGACACAGTCCATGATTGTGTCAATTTAACTGATAATAATAATGTTCAATGCCCTTTCTCTCAAAATGAACCAACGGTTAAGACTAGAGGCCATAACTATTGCATGAACTATAACTAACTGATATTACATTAATTACGGTCAGGGAGCAAGACTATGCCGTCAAATGCGATTCATTTTTATTTAAATACTTACTTAACTGCCGGTTTGTGAAATTATAAAGTTCTACGTACCAATTTTAATACGTGTTTATACTCAATATAAACAGTCACTAGACCCTTTTTGAAAACTACCCTCTTTGACCAACATTCCAGTTACCCTCCCAGAACGGGGTAAGTTTCCTCTATACATGGTTGCCTACATTATTAAGTGAGTTTTATTTTTTTAAAGGTGGTTTCGCCCTGTCGGACTGAGGACATGGAGGTCAACTGGGAAATTTACATGGTGGGGCCCTATGGTATTGTACACAGATGTTGTTTGGGTTTATAGTGGTCCAATTCTGACTTCGTTTTTATGGCACTGCAATCTCAATTACCGCAAGTATTAGGAACTCTATTGAAAATGTAAATAGCCGTGCCATAAATCATCTTAAACGTTTACGGGCGCATACGGCCCTGTGTAGTGTAGACAATTGGTCCCTTGATGGTTTATGACCGCTGGATTACTTGCGGCAGAGGCCTATTGTGGAACACTTAACTGCCCATTCACAATGGACATAAGACATAAGAACGAGCGCATAACATAATTTACGTTTTTGGTTTGTGTCTGGCTTATGCTTATCTACGTTCACAGTGGACAGAGTGAACTCTGTAAGAATTGTTAAACTGCGCAAACGCAGAACGGAATAACTCCCGGCTAAACATAGAAACGGCTAACCTCAAACTGAGTCAATCAAAATATCTAACCTACAATTTAATACGATATTCGAACTTGACAACTCGCAGTACAGAACAGACTCGCAGTGTGAAGCTTTGATTATAATTTATATAATATAATCAAAGGTGTGAAGTGCCAAGTGCCAACTGTCAAAGGGAATTCAACAGCAGCATTCAAAAGTCCCTAGATTTTAACATAAGTTTGACATAATTCGTGCACAAAGTTGAACTTGTTTCAACTTTGTGTACGCACACAAGGATTACATAAAACGTTCATAAGCATAAGAATTACGTTCGTCCACTGTGAACAGGGGTACACGTTTTACATCGTTTCAACTTTATGTATTTATGTAAGCTTTATGTACTTGTTATGCCTTATGTCCATTGTGAATGGGCAGTAACTCCTTCACAATAGGATACAGTCATAAAAACGAACCAGCAGTTGGAGCACTATACTATTGCTATTACTATTTTCAGTTGTGCCGGCGACATTGGCTTTGAAAAAATTATGTTATTTTTGGAATTTTGATAACGCTACCAAGAAAAACAAAGCTATTAAAAAAATTGTGGAAGGTTATTTTGACAGAACCTCCCTCGTCCTTGAAATATAGTCCGACAAATTCCGCTTCATTAAAAAAATATAAAATTAGATTTTGCGATTTTCGTTATATGATAACTGTTAAACTTTAGTACGTGGAAAGATAAGACTGATTTTGGCAAATGACGTACCCTCTAAGAAAATAGAAGGCGGGTGAGGGGGTTAGTATTTGCTACGATCAGACTGAACAACTAGAAACTGTGTTTAACTTTATTCTACAGAGTATTCTAAGCAACCAATAGTCCCGCTTACCCACCCCCTCTTCATTGTAGTTGTTCATAAAAGCTGGATTTTGGCGAATGATATACCCTCTAAGAAAATAGAAGGCGGGTGGGCGAGAATAGTACTTGCTAAGATAAGACTAAGTTTCTAGATGTTCAGTGTGATCTTAGCAAATACTAACCCCGCCCACCCGCTCTCTATTTTCTTAGAGGATATGTCATTTGCCAAAATCAGTCTTATCTTAGCAGGTAGCAGCCACTCCCACCACTTTATTTTCTTAGATAATACTATATCATTTATCAAAATTAGTCTTATCTTAGCAAGTACTAACCCCGCCCACCCACCCTCTGTTTTCTTAGATGGTATGTCATTTGCCAAAATCAATCTTATCTTATGAAGTACTAGCACCATCTAATCCCTCTATTTTCTTAGAGGGTATGTCATTCGCCAAAATCAATCTAATCTTAACAAATAATGATAATACAAATTTTAAAATTTTATGTTCTGTTTTTTGTCGTATATTTGTTCAGATTTTACTTCCAGAGCGTAATTTAAGGAAATATTAGTATTTATGAAGTGTATACTTTCGGAGGCTTCCACGGTCGGAATCAATACATGATCGTTTTCCGGGTTGGAACCGTGTTAATTGAGTTTTTGGGCTAAACGTTTTGCACACTTTCGTAAGTGGCATCTTCAGGAGCAGGGTTAAAAATAAGGCAAAAGAGCACGGTAACTCGGTATGTTAACTATACCAGAGGCGAAACTCTATCAAAATGTATGGTTGACAAACTGAGTTACCGTGCTCTTTTGCCTTATT